CCGCAATTCGTATTTTTTCTTATAACTTCAGTAATTCTCGGAATTTTAAAATTATTTAATTTTGGTAGGTACATCCAGTTAGTACTAATGTGTCCGTGTGCCAAATTTCATCATGATAGGTCAATTCTGAAGAAAGTTATAGCCATAAGTAAAATCGCTGCTCATGCGCTGCCTGCAGCTCTGTCGGCAGCGCTGCCCGCAGCTGTTGTTGTTGTTGCTGCTTTTGTTCAACTTTGTGCTGCATACATACACGCATATGAACACGCATAGGTACGTGATGTAAATGTATGCTGTTTAAACTGAAAATAAACATGTATTTAATTTAAACAAACATAATTATAATTTAATTTAATTAATTATTTTAATTAATTCATTCATTCATTTTTTTTAATAATTTAATTTTTTTTAAATTTTTTTTTTTTTAATTTTACCTTTTTGTGGAGAGTACAGGCTATTTTACTGTCGGGCTTGCTCGACTGTAGCGTTCTATCTTGTTTTATTTGAAATTCATTATATTTATTTTATTTCATTTTCTTAAAGTTACAAAATTAATCATATGTTTAATTGTTCAGTGTTGGTTGTGCTCTTTATACTCTGTACATGAAATGTACAAGAGTATATTAGGTTTGCGGGAGCTGAAAAATGTAACAGGCAGAAGGAGGCGTGGCAGACCCCACAAAGTATATATATTCTTGATCAGCGTGACAAGACGAGTCGATCTAGCCCTGTCTGTCTGTCTGTCCGTCCGTATGAACACCTGGATCTCAGAGACTATAAGAGATAGAGACACCAAATTTTTCACAAAGATGCGTTATGTGTGTATTCTATACGAGTTTGTTTTATTTTTTTGATTTTCCCCCATCACTTCCCCCCTATGGGGGTTTTTCCCGATTTTCCATTCGTATAATCGCCTATATCTCGGAGACTATAAGACCTAGGCACACCAAATTTTAGTCCAAGATGCCAAAATGTGTGAATACGCAGAAAATGTATATTTTGGAATTACCCTCCCTCCCCCTCTCCTCCGCAAATGCGATTTTCTCTAACTCCCGTAATTCTTGGAATTTTGCAAATACCCCCAGTTAGTAATTATGTGTCCGTATGCCAAGTTTCACTATGATAGACCGATTTACCAAGAAGTTATAGCCATAAATATATTTGCTGCTGCAGCGCTGCTCAAGCGCTGCTCAAGCGCTGCCCGCGGCTGTTGTTGATGTTGCTGTTTGGTTGACTGCGAAAATGCTTACACAGACACGAATTGATGCGCATAGGCATACATACACTCACATAGACGCAATTGCTATGTAAATGTGCAATTATACACCCTTTACGTGAGTTCGAATACCGAGAAAGGTAAAATCGATCATTGCATTTTTTTTTATTTTCTTAATTTTTTTTTATTTTCTGTAATTATTGTAAACATATGTACAGAGTATTTCAAAGTCGGGACACCCGACTTTAGCTTTTTTACTTGTTTTTTTTAGATTTTGTCTAGATCATTTGCCTGACTCATATATTTCTTTTTCAAACATTTGTTGTGCAACTTATATAGTTTATAAAAACAATTTGCGCACATTATAACAACAATTATTATTAACAGTGTGTGTATTAGTTCTAGGTTATTACTATTTGACTCTACTTTATTAATGACATTAGCAGTGGAGTCCACTGACTTAACGTCTAATACTGCCATTTTGGGCGTATATATTTGTACCCAAAGGGTACAAGGGTATATTAGTTTTGTGCGAGTGCACATGGAACACGCAGAAGGAGGCTTGGTAGACCCCACAAAGTATATATATTCTTGATCATCATGACAAGTCGAGTCGATATAGCTATGTCAGTCTGTCTGTCTGTATGAACGCAAGGATCTCCGAAAGTATAAGAGCTAGAACAACCAAACTTGGTATACAGATTCTCCTGAGACCGAGAAAGGACGAGTTTGTTCATTTTTTGTGATCCACCCCCCCACTCCCCACCTATTAACGATTTTCTATAACTCCCGTAATTCTTGCAATTTTGAACTAAAATTTGGTAGTCACATTAGGTTAGTAATTATATATCCGTATACCAAGTTTCATTATGATAGAATGATCGGAAAGAAAGGTATAGCCATATAACCAGGCCCAATGCACACATACATACATATGTACAAGTTCACAAACACGCATAAGGCACGATTCTGATGTAAATGTAAATGTATATGTATGCATGCATAGAATATTTATACTCTGTACATGAAATGTACAAGAGTATATTAGGTTTGCGGGAGCTGAAAAATGTAACAGGCAGAAGGAGGCGTGGCAGACCCCACAAAGTATATATATTCTTGATCAGCATGACGAGACGAGTCGATCTAGCCCTGTCTGTCTGTCTGTCCGTCCGTATGAACACCTGGATCTCAGAGACTATAAGAGATAGAGACACCAAATTTTGCACGAAGATGCGTTATGTGTGTATTCTATACGAGTTTGTTTTATTTTTTTGATTTTCCCCCCACCTTCCCCCTATGGGGGTTTTCCCGATTTTCCATTCGTATAATCGCCTATATCTCGGAGACTATAAGACCTAGGAACACCAAATTTTAGTCCCAGATGCCTTATGTGAATACGCAGAAAATGTATATTTTGGAATTCCCCTCCCTCCCCCCTCTACCCCGCAAATCGTAACTCCCGTAATTCTTGGAATTTCGAACTAAAATTTTGGAAATACCCCCAGTTAGTTATTATGTGTCCGTATGCCAAATTTCATTATGATAGACCGATTTAACAAGAAGTTATAGCCATAAATATATTTGCTGATGCAGCGCTGCTCGTAGCTGTTGTTGACGCTGATGCTTTGGTTGACTGCAAACATGCTTACACAGACACGAATAGACGCGCATAAATATACATACACTCACATAGACGCAATTGCTATGTAAATGTGCAATTATACACCCTTTACGTGAGTTCGAATACCAAGAGAGGTAAAATCAGACAATTTTTTTTTTAAATTCTTTTAATTTCTTTAATTATTCTAAACAAATGTACAGAGTATTTCAAAGTCGGGACACCCGACTTTACCTTTTTTACTTTTTTTGTATACCATGTACACATAGGGTAACAAGAGAGAATGCTACAGTCGAGCAAGCCCGACAGTGAAATACTCTGTACCCAGGTAAGCTTCCGTAACTGAAGTATATGCGCCCATAGCAGAAGCAAAAAGACGAAGAAGAAGAGCGAACTTGTTGCTGCAGTTTGGAGGGGTTGTACTGTACCCTAAGCGTACAGGGTATATTAGGTTTGTGCAAAGCAGGTCGTACCCACGGCCTCTGTCGGCAGCCACCCGAAAATAACCGCGGCAGAATTTCTCGCGGGCCCGAACGGGTTTTGCCCGCATTTTACGAACCCTGGTGCAAAGTATGTAACATGAAGAAGAAAGCATCTCCGACCTCACAAAATATATTTATACTGATTAGTAGGACGAGAGAAATCGATCTAGACAAGTCAGCCTGTCTGGATGAACGCAAGGATCTCAGAAACTATAAAAGTTGGAATAACCAAAGTTGGCATCCAGATTCTCCTAGGTCTGGGAAAGGACCAGTTTATTAATTTTTGGGACTTTTCCCGTCGCTACCGTCCACTTTTCAAAAGCTACCTTAACCAAACACATAATTATGCACACATAATTCATACATAATAAGCTACTTTCATTTAAATCGGTTAATGCTAAGAAAAGTTATTAACGAAACAATTTCAGTCCGGTACTACGCTCACAAGCTGCAACATCAAGTTCGCTCTTCTTCTTCCTCTTGCTTCTGCTAGAGGCGCATATACCTCAGTGTCGGAAGTTTACCTGGGTACAGGGTATTTCAATGTCGGGCTTGCTCGACTGTAGCGTTCTCTCTTGTTTTACTTTACTTCCGTCGTGAATTCGCCCCACGTTGGGCGCCAGGTTTTTAATTCAAGATTGGTCTCAGGATAATATTGACCGATCGGCTCAATCAAAGAATATTATTAAAGCTTGGGCCGGACCTATTACTTTATTTGCATGTTAGTACTTTGAATAAATCGGAAGAACTATTTACAAAGGTGAAATTGAACTTAAAACTAAACTCTGATGCTTACAGCTTGGCGTCGACGTCGCTGCCGTGGTTCACCGAAAAGTGCTGATCCTGCACTTCTATCACCACCTATGGGCGTCGTTCGTACGAATGTAACGCAAGCTTTTGCATTCTCTTTCCGGGCTCCGCAGTGTGACTGGGTTAGTAGAATTTGACTTAGTTCTTTTGTTTGTGGAAGTAGTACTGGAGTGAAATTGTTTCGCTAATAACTTTTCATAGAATTGACAGATTTGGATGAAATTCAAAACAAAAGTAGATATTTGTAAATACATTACGTGTGGTTTCTGTAGGTTTAAAAATGTGGTCAGTATTGGCGTAATTCTGTAGCGGGGAGGGAAAATCAAAAAAAAAATATAATAAACTCGTGTAGCCTAGGGACTAGAAGCGTCTACATACCAAGTTTGGTCAATGTGCGCTCAACCGTTTCCGAAATCCAGGCGTTCATTCAGACGGACGTATCGATTTCTCTGATGCTGATCAAGAATATATATACTTTATGGGGTCGGAGATGCTTCCTAATATACCCTTCTTACAGGGTATAAAACTTCCGAGTGTGGGAGCACCCATACTCAATTGATCGCTAAAATTTGGTGGTGGTTTTTACTCTCACAAGTTTGTTTGCGTTCACCAACCGCTTAAGTATAAAAATGAGTGAAGAGGACAGCGAAAAGTATTGTGATTGCATTGATCTAAGTATAAGAAGGCCCTGAGTATAATCAACACCGCATAATTTTGTATGTGGTGTTTTGCATGACCGAGAATGGAATATTCTAAGTATGTATGCGGCGAACTTATTGTTGCGGTGCACCGCTGCAGGTCTCTGCTACATAATACATTTTTTTGAAACGAAATTCCTAAGAACATTTTTGTTTTTGAATTATAAAATAACATTGTCTATTTTTTTATTGCTTTTATTTAAATTTTGTTATTAGATATTACGGAAACTAATGTTCATATAACTTTGATATATCCTCATATTGAAGATTTTCAATAGCACGGCCCTTATGTGGCCCTTCTGATACCTCAATATTTACGCTGTATTGGCGTTCATTTAAATTTCTAAGTATTGCCTTTGTCCCCCGGTAAGCGCCATTCACCACGAGGACAGGTTTGCCCAATGCTGGAATCACTGTTTCCAAATGTGCCTATGTTACAAATAATGTAAAATTACCGATTGTACTTATGTGTTGCTATACATACATACCTGGTCCACTTTAAGCTTATCTCCTAAATGCAAAAATTTAATTTTAGCTCGGTATCTATCTATAACTTCTTCTACAACTGCCTTCTGATTATAGAATTTATCACCCATTTCCTTTGAAGTGAACTTTACCACTATGCCTACATCTAGCCAATATTCCGTACGAATTTCAGAGTCCTGGTGTTGATATTGGGTTTCTCTACATTCGGACTCAATTTTAAGACGTTTTGATTCGACCAATGAAGGCTTTATATTCAACTTTTTTTCAAGTTTAATATTTAATTTGATCGGCTTTTCCTCATCTCGCATGAGCTGGGTGAAAAGATTTTGCGAGTCTTCACCATTCGTAGATTTCGCCTTTTCAATTTGTTTTTCTAGGAATTTCAGCATTTGCTCCTCATCATCTTTCTCCATTTTTGCTTTGCGATCGGCCTTTGCTTGACGCTCCATTGCCTCAGGACTGCGATCGATGTAAGTAACAAACCAACCTTTCTCTGTCTCATCTGCTATTACTTGGCCAGTTCGTCCCAACCATTTTACATAGTCAGATAATGTTAGCCAGCGCGTTGCGTTCATGTGAATGTGCTCCTTATGAGCTATGTACTCCTGGTATATTTTGTTTGCATTGGTACGCTTGGTGCCAAAACGTCGACGCAGCAGCTCCATGTAGCCATCGGAGAATTCCTTAGAAAAGCTATGAAGGAATTTACCAGGAGAGTCTGCAAACAGTAATAATTGGCGCTGGTGAGATTCGCTCATGGTGTGGCACTTGAATCCATTTTCATCCCGACACTGTTTCTCGCACATTTGACAATACCAACGTAACTTTTGTAAGCCTTTCGCCTTCATCTTATTTGCTAGATATTTTGGCGTTCCAACTTCGGCTCGCCCCATTGTTAAGAATTTTTATATAAACAGCAACGAAAATACTATTACAACTAGAAAGAACGAAATACAAGCACATTTAACTAGGGATGAGCATCGATATAGCAAAATCGATATAATTTCGATATTAAGACACACAATTTATGTAAAATCCGATAAGATATTCAATGCCATCTACATATATCGAATGCATCGATTTTTAATACGACATATCTTTTCATATCTTACATTGTTTCCCCGCTTTTAAGATAATTCGTAGAGTTTGTTTGGTTGCGCGCTTTAATTATGCCAAAGTAAGAACTTTTTAACCTTAATATACATACATAAATATTTATTCGGGGGTTTCCGCAACAGTTGTTTTTGAAAACTCACAAAAATCCGTCGGTGCAACAGCAACGTACTATGTTAAATAGAAAACAAATTTGCATTAATATTGGCCCGCGAGCATTTGCAGAAAGGTCAATAAATTGTTAAGAAAATACAACGCAAATGTTTGAGAAGCGCATTTGATCCCACTAATGAATGTTGCTCATTGAAAATTCAATTTATTTTACGTTTTTTATAACATAATTTGGAATTCTGCGCAATTAAGGGGTGTACTTCCATAAATTTGACAAAAATTGTGCCCTGAAATGCATTTGAAATTGAATTGAGAATTACAAAAATGTACTTACATTTTGTTTCCCTGGTCCGTATTGCATATTCAAATGGCAGTTTATGACCGTTCACATTTTTGCTAACAAACAGACTTGCCCAATCGGCGACACAAAATTTTCGCCAAGTTTGCTTAATTAATACACAGTTATTTAAAACAAGAATTGCGTCAATTAAATATTTTATTTATATCTTTCGTTGAAATCATAAAATAAGACTTAATTCAGCAAAATGTGATATTCGAAAAATGTAATGTTCTATTTGGGCCAACTGTGTATTAATAAAACAAACAAATTGAGTGTTGCTGTGCATAACAGCGCTGTCATGTAAATTGGATAGCGAACAAGGATTAAGAAACTGCCAGGTTTAATTTTGTGTTCTGGTAAGCCTATTGAGACTGTTTGACCATTTCATAGTCAGTCAGCTGTTGCTAACAGTAGGCTTGGAGGGAAAGTTCGAAAAAATTAAATCTTTAGAAGTTCTTTTGTGAAGATTTTTAAAACAACTGTAGCCGAAATCTCTAGAGTGTGGTACCCCTGAATATATGGCAACTCGTCCCCAAATTTATTCCGTTTCTGCAGTTTATACGTGAAAACGGGTTTTTTCCATTTTTTCCACTTTTTTCTCCCAAACTCTCATTGGTGGATGCGCACATATGCCGCCTGGACTGCTCGCAGAAGGCAGTCGCGCTGCCGTTGCTATTGCTGCCGCTTTCTGGCTTTGCCCAGGTGCTACTCCCGTAGCTTAAGCAAGCAGTAACAGTGCAGGCGTTGCGGCAATCAACGTGGGCCCGCGTGGGCCCGCTTATGGATTCGCGAAAAAACTCACACTTATCCCGCTTTACTTCCCTGCTCTCAGTGTTCGGCACACCTCCTTTAGGTTGCATAGGTCTTTTCTAAATGTTATCCGTTATACCGTTCATATAGGCAAATGCGTGAGGTACCATATCTGGGCCGATGACGCTATCTAGCTCCCGCTGGAAGATAGCTGGGGCTGAATGCAGCCCAAATGGAATTGGATCGCCATTGGAAAAGGCCCCGTCCGGCCATTGTGCTTACAACTGATCCGTTCCATGGGGATCTGCCAGTATCCGTAAATTTCGTAAATCGATTCTGCTGATGTACTTTGCTTGATGTAGCTGGTCGAGGATGTACTGGATTCTCAGAATGGAGTATGCGTCTGGCTCTGAGCGCTCATTTAGCTGGCGGTCGTCGACTTGGTGGTCAATCATGGAGCCCCAGTTGGGTTTACTACCACCAGCGCTGCACATCGTGCACTTAGTAAAATTTTGGTAACCATAATGCTAAATAAATTACTTTTAATAGCCAATTAATGCCATTACAGCAAATCTATCTGCTATGAATTCTAATTCTTATACCCGTGGCAGCTGCATATTCGCATATATATTCTTGATCAGCATGACAAGACGAGTCTATCCAGCCTTGTCTGTCTGTCCCTCTCTCCGTCCGTATGAACACCTGGATCTCAGAGACTATAAGAGCTAGAAACACAAAATTTTGCAGAAATATGCCTTATATGTGTATGCTATACGAGTTTGTTTTATTTTTTTTATTTCCCCCCCATTTCTCCTCTAAAATCACCTATATTTCGGAAGCTGTAAGACCTAGGAACTCAGACGCCTTATATTTATACGCAGAAAATGTGTTTCTTAGATTTTCCCTCCCTCCCCCCTCTCCCACACAATCACTGATTTTCCATAATAATTCCAAATAATTCCCGTATTTCTTGGAATTTTTCATTAAAATTCACTACCAGTTAGTGATCATGAGTCCGTGTACCAAGTTTGGCCATATATCTATATATGTACTATATATGACCAGGCAGCGCCCACAGCTGTTGTTGTTCTTGCTCCTTTATACAGGCACACGATACATACACAGACACACACAAACCCTCATATTTATTCAACACATATGTATTCAACACAGTATTTCAAAATCCGGACACCTGACCTTAGCTTTTCCACTTGTTTTAATTTAATAATGTCTAATAGAAAATCAATATAAATTAAAACAATAATGATTCGTCCGATAATTAAACTAATATTATACCAGAAAGATGCAGTATTTGCATAAAATTGAGTATATCATTGCAAACTAAAACAACTGTCAACTTTAAGTGCATATATCTCCTAAGCTTCAATTCCGATTTCTTTAAAAATATGATTTTCCGTGGAAAATTTCCAATTAGAAAAGTATATTCATATTCCCCAAAGCGTTAATTGCCGTACCAAACTGCGACTTTAAGCTGGCACTATGCATCCATCCAGAGGCGTTCTCTGCTTTCTTTGGGAAATGCATTAGAGACTGCTGGAAGATACAAAGTTAGGCAAGCCACCTCACGGCACGGAGATAGTGGGGTATGCAGATGATGTAGCGATTGTAGGCGTTGCCAAAGAGGTCAGATCCATTGAGGATGCATGCAATCGCAGCATCCAAACGATTATGAGTTTGCTGAAAACAGTGGGACTTGAACTGGCGGCAAAACAGAGGCAGTGCTAATCAGCAGGAACAAGACGAGCGCTTGCACGTATTATGGTTAACACACGGAGCCCCAAATACGGACGCAGGTTGCTTTACAAGCTACCTACATTTTTTTGGGCACAACTCCAGGGCGGAATGTCCTAATGCAGGGGAGTAGCGGAAGACGCACCGAGTGCAAGCTTGGCGGCCACAATTATGGCAATACTATATAGGCGGGTTGAACACCCAGAAGCAATGCCTGTCAGCCGTACCGCATGAACTACAACTTGCGTATATACCTGTATTTTTATTTCTATTTTATTCTATGTTATTTTTATTAGAATAAATTAAAGAAGAACAAACACATACAGATACACAACAAGCAACAGTTCGTGTCTATGTATGTACGGTTCTATACGTACGGTGAAAACAGTAAAGAGAAACAAAATAAAATACCCATGCATGTATATTTTTATTTTATTTTTTCATTGACAAACAATGCAGTCGATGTACATCAAAAAATCAATATAATAGAGAACTAAAAAGAAAGTAAAACTAAAGAAATTAAAAAGCCTATAAAAATGACAAAAATATCTAATAAGGAATCCGACACGGTGGGGGAATTTTATTTGCCAAACGGCCAGCTATGCCCCGAATCACAGCAGAGAGTAGTCAGGTACGTTATTAGACCTATCAAACAAGATGTGAAGGTGAAAAAATATAGCAATAAAAGATAGAGAAACCAAATTAAAATTAAAATACTTAAATAATAAAAGATAAAATATAATTCAAAATTAAAGGTGAAGAATCACTGACCCGTAGGGGGAAAATTTATTAGCCAGTCCGGCAAGCTATGCCCCTACTCACAGCAGTGGTGATCAGTGATTCTGCCTGAGGTAGCTGAAAATAGAAGATTTTAGTGAGGGGAGAGAGAGCTCACTTGAGATCAGAAAGTAAAAAGTATTATAATTAGCGCATAATACTCGAAAAGGATTGTGCATGGCATAATCACTAGTGCATCTGTTAAGTTGAAGTGGCAGAAAGTTGCTTGTTGGCCTAGAAGGAACAGAAAAATTGATACGACTTAAAATCATAGAGGAATCAACATCTCCGACAATCAATTTCTGGAGGAACAGAACACCAATAACTATCATACGGTGAGCTAAAGAAGGCAGGTTAATAAGGAAAAGTCTGCTGGAGTAGGAAGGTAATCGCAGGTTAGGATCCCAGTTAAGACCATGAAGAGCAAGAAGATGAAATTGTATCCGTATCGACTCAAAGCGATCCTGATGCAGTTTATACTAGAGAACTGTACAGTAACTTGGTGGTGTAGGGGTCGTTAAATTCTCTGGACCAACGTTTAATAAAACCAAGAAAACCCTTAGCTTTGTTAACGATAGTGGATATGTGAAGATTAAAATTCAATTTGGTATCAAAAGAACTCCAACATCTTCAACTGTAAATATACGTTGCAATGGTATATTGAAAATCGCTTAAGTACCTAGATATGGTCTGGACTGGTGAAAAGTCATAAACTTGCATTTAGAACAGTTAAGGTGCAGGTAGTTGACCAAGCACCACCGTCGAAAACAGCTTAGATCGTAGACCAGACGAGAATGATACAGAGGATCTTTATACGAAAAAATAAGCTTTACATCATCGGCATACATTAGTATATGGGAGTGCAGCAGGATAGACGCAAGGTCTAGAAATATTCGACCTAAGTAGTACTTTCTGTGTCCTATTTTTTAGGTACAAAAAGTTTGAGGGAAATCCCATACAAGTTAGTTTCAAGAGAAGGAGGTCGTGATTCACAGAATCAAATGCTTTGCTGAAGTTGGTATATATAACATCAGCTTGCATCTTTGCTAAGAATGCATCATTAATCAAAAATGTAAATTCAAGCAGATTAGTCGTTGTTGACCGATATGTATAAAAATCCATGCTGAGCAGGGGAGATTACAGACTAACAATGATGCTGTAAAGAGGAAGTAATTATTTTTTCAAATAATTTAGGAATGGCAGAAAGTTTAGCAATGCCTCTATAGTTGGAAATGTCTGACTTACAGCCCTTTTTTTGGAGTGGTATAATAAACGATTCTTTCCAAGAAGCAGGAAAGATTCCGTTCTCAAGGGACAGATTAAAAAGCCTAAGCAACGGCTTGCAGAGGGAAGTATTACACTCTTTGAGCACACAACTAGGAATGTTGTCAGGCCCTGGAGAGAATGAAGCTTTTACAGATTGTACTATATTAGATAAAATACAAGAATGTGTAATTATTGGAGCAAATATAGAATTTTATTTATATAATTATTGGAGCAATTTTAGAATTTTTTCAGCACTTACAGAATCATTAGAAGAATTGTTATTCGCAAGGAAAAATTATGATAGCAAAGTCGAAGATTTCCGCTTAGAATTCACGAAGTTATATAACTTTTTAGGATCATGTTTAAATTGGAGCTTGCAACGCTTAAGATAATTTGTGTAACACAGGGAGTTTAAAAGAAGAAAATTAGATTTTGCAATGCAATATTTGACTGCTTGAACTTTTTGAAACATCTGGATTTTATGTTTTTTAGGTTAGAAAGTTTACGCGTAAACCATGGAGGCCTAAGAGAAGAAATGCGACGCTATTGGGAACACAGACATCAAAGATGGAATACATGGTGTCATAAAAACATTTTGAAGCAACATCTATATCGACGGAGCTAGGGAAGACAAATTTCTAGAGTAGGATGATAAATATCTTCAGGCAGTGTTAAAGGAGAAGATCTAGACACAACATTAGTGACTTCATTAACAAACACCAAATCGAGATATCTATGAAGGTGATTGTATATTGGATTAATTTGAACTAAAGAGAGTTCAAGAAAGCAATCCAAAAAGTCATGCTGTGAAGAAGGAATAAGATGAGGCGAACTATTAAAAAATGACCAAGAAATGCTTGGTAAATTACAATCCCCCACCATAACAATCAAGTCATTATCACGCAGGCAGGAACATATTTCTCTGATACAAGTAATATGGAGCATACTATATTAACTTGAATATCAGAAGAAGGAGGAATATAGGAGCAAGTGATATATAGCGCTCGAAAAGGAGATGTTGCCTTAACGCAAATAAATTCTAGGTCTTCCAGCATATTAAGGTGGACAATTTCCGACTGGTGGATGGTGGTTATAACTGCAATCAGTACACCACCACCACGGCGAATAGGTCTATCACGTCTATAGATTATAAAGCTATTCGACAAAATTTCAAAGTCAGATATGGTTGCATTTAACTACGTCTCTGACAATACAATTATGTCAACTGCAACGAAAAGCTATCCCTATATGAGTTAAGATGCAATATCTCTAACATTTTAGTAATGTAAGCCAAAAGGTTTTTGAACAATTGTTAGTAGACGGTATTGAAGAACTAACTGGCAAGGACACCGGAATTGGATAGTGCGTTTTTTTTTGTTTGAACTCATGCCAAAATTTTGGGTCACAAATAGTTTCAAAAGCTTCTAACGGAACACTAATCTAAAAGAAACAATTTAAATTTAGAGATGGAAACGCTAGCAGAAGATTTGCTGGCGATTTAAGCGACGATAGACTCACAGCTAGTATGAGCAGATAGCCTCGAAACAAATACTTGCTTCCGAGGCGCTACAACTGTAAGGGAAGGAGGGCATGCAGGTGAGGTAAAAGCAGTATCGACCACAAAAATATTCCGATTTGTTGACTTTTAATAAATAAAGATGATAACGAAATACATTATCTTGAGTGGCCCAGCACATGCGTTTTAATTCAGGTGGAGTCATCAAACTTCATTGCCTTTACGGTGATCCATCTTCACCAAACGCCTGACAATTCGATTCACA